GTATGGTCCTAGAGGTCCCATATAATGGATATAATGTCCCGTCAGTGTGTATGGTCGTAGAGGTCCCATATAATGGATATAATGTACCCCCAGTGTGTATGGTCCTAGAGGTCCCATATAATGGATATAATGTACCCCCAGTGTCTATGGTCCTAGAGGTCCCATATAATGGATATAATGTACCCCAGTGTGTATGGTGCTAGAGGTCCCATATAATGGATATAATGTACCCCCAGTGTGTATGGTCCTAGAGGTCCCATATAATGTACCCCCAGTGTGTATGGTCCTAGAGGTCCCATATAATGGATATAATGTACCCCAGTGTGTATGGTGCTAGAGGTCCCATATAATGGATATAATGTACCCCCAGTGTGTATGATCCTAGAGGTCCCATATAATGGATATAATGTACCCCCAGTGTGTATGGTCCTAGAGGTCCCATATAATGGATATAATGCACCCCAGTGTGTATGGTCCTAGAGGTCCCATATAATGGATATAATGTACCCCCAGTGTGTATGGTCCTAGAGGTCCCATATAATGGATATAATGTACCCCCAGTGTGTATGGTCCTAGAGGTCCCATATAATGTACCCCCAGTGTGTATGGTCCTAGAGGTCCCATATAATGGATATAATGTACCCCAGTGTGTATGGTGCTAGAGGTCCCATATAATGGATATAATGTACCCCCAGTGTGTATGATCCTAGAGGTCCCATATAATGGATATAATGTACCCCCAGTGTGTATGGTCCTAGAGGTCCCATATAATGGATACAATGTACCCCCAGTGTGTATGGTCCTAGAGGTCCCATATAATGGATATAATGTACCCCCAGTGTGTATGGTCCTAGAAGTCCCATATAATGGATATAATGTACCCCCAGTGTGTATGGTCCTAGAGGTCCCATATAATGGATATAATGTACCCCCAGTGTGTATGGTGCTAGAGGTCCCATATAATGGATATAATGTACCCCCAGTGTGTATGGTGCTAGAGGTCCCATATAATGGATATAATGTACCCCCGGTGTGTATGGTCCTAGAGGTCCCATATAATGGATATAATGTACCCCCGGTGTGTATGGTCCTAGAGGTCCCATATAATGGATATAATGTACCCCCAGTGTGTATGGTCCTAGAGGTCCCATATAATGGATATAATGTACCCCCAGTGTGTATGGTGCTAGAGGTCCCATATAATGGATATAATGTACCCCCAGTGTGTATGGTCCTAGAGGTCCCATATAATGGATCTATGTGTATGGTCCTAGGGTCCCTTATAATGGATATAATGCACCCCCGGTGTGTATGGTCCTAGAAGTCCCATATAATGGATATAATGTACCCCCGGTGTGTATGGTCCTAGAGGTCCCATATAATGGATATAATGTACCCCCGGTGTGTATGGTCCTAGAGGTCCCATATAATGGATATAATGTACTCCCAGTGTGTATGGTCCTAGAGGTCCCATATAATGGATATAATGTACCCCCAGTGTGTATGGTCCTAGAGGTCCCATATAATGGATATAATGCACCCCCCCTGTGTATGGTCCTAGAGGTCCCATATAATGGATATAATGTACCTCCGGTGTGTATGGTCCTAGAGGTCCCATATAATGGATATAATGTACCTCCGGTGTGTATGGTCCTAGAGGTCCCATATAATGGATATAATGTACCCCCGGTGTGTATGGTCCTAGAGGTCCCATATAATGGATATAATGCACCCCCAGTGTGTATGGTCCTAGAGGTCCCATATAATGGATATAATGTACCCCAGTGTGTATGGTCCTAGAGGTCCCATATAATGGATATAATGCACCCCAGTGTGTATGGTCCTAGAGGTCCCATATAATGGGCAGTGTAGTGTCCTAGCGGTTCTCACCTGGTTACTTCCGCTTCCTCCGGTCCCGTTATTCTCTCTCTGTCCCAGCCCTGGGATGCACTGCCGCACTTCCGGTACTTAATGACGTATTTCCGGGCGGTTTAATATAGCCGCCATCTTGGGAGGGGAACTACTGAGTGTGAGTGATAGTCAGATACTGAGTGTGTCAGATACTGAGTGTGAGTGATAGTCAGATACTGAGTGTGAGTGATACTGAGTGTGAGTGATACTGAGTGTGAGTGATACTGAGTGTGAGTGATGGTGTCAGATACTGAGTGTGAGTGTGTCAGATACTGAGTGTGAGTGATGGTGTCAGATACTGAGTGTGAGTGATAGTCAGATACTGAGTGTGAGTGATACTGAGTGTGAGTGATACTGAGTGTGAGTGATAGTCAGATACTGAGTGTGAGTGATACTGAGTGTGAGTGATAGTGTCAGATACTGAGTGTGAGTGATACTGAGTGTGAGTGATGGTGTCAGATACTGAGTGTGAGTGTGTCAGATACTGAGTGTGAGTGATGGTGTCAGATACTGAGTTGAGTGATTGATGGTGTCTGATGCTGGTGTTAGTATGGTGTGAAAAGGGTGATACTGAGTTAGGTGGTAGTGTCGGATGCTGAGTGTGAGGTGATGGTGTGGATGCAGGTGTGGTGGTGGTGTCGGATGCGGGTGTGGGTGATGCTACGGGTGTGGTGGTGGTTGATGCAGTGCTGGTGATGAGTGTCGGATGCACGGTGTGGTGCACGGGTGTGGTGATGAGGTGTCAGATACTGAGTGTGAGTGATGCACAATGGATACTGAGTGTGAGTGATACTGAGTGTGAGAGTGTGTCAGATACTGAGTGTGGTATTAGTGTGAATACTGAGTGTGGAGAGTGATACTGAGTGTGAGTGATAGTGTGCAGATACTGAGTGTGGTGATGAGGTGTGTCCAGATACTGTGAGGTGTATGGTAATGAGGTGTAGATACTGGGAAGTGTGAGTGATACTGAGTGTGAGTGTTGGTGTCTGATACTGAGTGATAGTGTCAGATACTGAGTGTGAGTGATACTGAGTGTGAGTGATAGTGTCAGATACTGAGTGTGAGTGATACTGTCAGATACTGAGTGTGAGTGATACTGAGTGTGAGTGATGGTGTCAGATACTGAGTGTGAGTGATGTGTCAGATACTGAGTGTGAGTGATACTGAGTGTGAGTGATGGTGTCTGATACTGAGTGATAGTGTCAGATACTGAGTGTGAGTGATGGTGTCAGATACTGAGTGTGAGTGATACTGTCAGATACTGAGTGTGAGTGATACTGAGTGTGAGTGTGTCAGATACTGAGTGTGAGTGATGGTGTCAGATACTGAGTGTGAGTGATACTGAGTGTGAGTGATGGTGTCAGATACTGAGTTATAGTGTCAGATACTGAGTGTGAGTGATGGTGTCAGATACTGAGTGTGAGTGATAGTGTCAGATACTGAGTGTGAGTGATACACTGAGTGTTAATCTCAGACTTGGCGGCTCTGTTTTATCGTCTCTCTATTCTCAGACCTAGCGGCTCTGTTTTATCGTCTCTCTAGTCTCAGACCTAGCGGCTCTGTTTTTTTTGTCTGGATACCACTGACTTGAAGAGAGAGCGAAAGAAGAGGATCAGTATTAAGAGGATGAAAGACAAGGAGTTCAGTTTTAGAGAGGTTTAGTTTTAGAGAGCGTGAGGACATCCAGTCAGAGATGGAGGAAAGTCAAGCAGTGACACATTGCAGGACGGCAGGGGAGAGGTCTGGGGAGGAGAGATATAGCTGGGTGTCAGCGTACAGGTGGTAGTGGAATCCAAATGAGGCAATAAGTTTGCCAAGAGAAGCAGTATAAAGAGAAAATAGAAGTCCCTTGGGGGGACTCAAACAGAGACAAGACGAAGGGAGGAGGTATCATAAGAAAAGGAGACACCGATTGAGCGTTGGGAGAAATAGAAGGAAAACCAAGAGAAGACAGTGTCACAGAGACAGAGTGACTGAAGAGTTTGAAGAAGGAGAATATGGTCAACAATGTCAAAGGCAGCCGCGAGGTCAAGAAGCATTAGTATAGAGTAGTGGCCTTTGAATTTAGCTGCGATTAGGTCATTAGTAACTTTGATAAGAGCAATCTCAGTAGAGTGGAGAGGGCGGAAGCCAGATTGAAGAGGGTCAAGGAGAGAGTTGGAATTGAAGAAGTGAGACATACGGGTAAAGACAAGTCTTTCCATAAGCTTTGAGAAAAAAGGGAGCAGGGATATGGGACGATAGTTAGAGGGGGTGGATGGGTCGAGGGTTGGTTTTTTTCAGGATAGGTACTACAGTAGCATTTTTAAGGTCAGCATGGACAACGCCAGAAGAAAGAGAGCAGTTGAAGATGTGTGTTATAAGGTCAGCAGGGACAATGCCAGAAGAGAGAGAGCAGTTGAAGATGTGTGATAAGGAAGGCACAAGGCAAGGTTGGAGAGATCTGATAAGGTGAGATGGGACAGGATCAAGCGGGAAGTGGTGGGGCGAGAGGAAAGGAGAAGCACAGCCACCTCTCGTTCAGTAGCCGGGGAGAAAGTCTGAAGGGTAGGAAAGACATTATCAACGTGTGGTTGAGAAAGAGAAAGGCGGGGTGGGGAGGATTCTTATCATGGCAAACAACCCAATGTTAAGGAAAGGTCATTTATATCTGCGGAGTCTGGAACACCTTATCAAACATCTGTATTTCTGGTTCTGAACTCCATGTTATCGATTATTTGCCTAGCAGGTGATCAACTATACATGTTGATAAGCATAATTTAATACAACAGTCTGAGGACACATACAGGGCATCAAAATAAAAGATTTGGGGCAGCTTGCTTTACGCCCCAGCTTTCGTGGTAGAGCTCAACATTACGTTAGAAAAGCTGCGGTATGGTTTAACAGTAACAAAGTGACTGGTTCGCAGCTGTTCTGCTGGGCTGTGCGTCGGGAGCGCCTCTGGGGACCTGCGCATGCTGTTGCCGACAGGTGCGCATGCGGCTTGTCCCAGTATCCTTAAAGAGATAGTATCATGTTAAATAGCACTCTATTTATATACTGCCCTATTCTATCCCTAGCCTATCAGATCTCCCCAAGCCCTATTTATACCTCTTTCTTACATCACTTCCTTGCCCTGTCGTGGTTTCTTGTAGCCCAAGAGTGCATTCTGTTAACTTGTATTTCATTGGTATCTGACTTTGGCTTGTTTTCGGGTTATCCATATCTCTGGCTACCCTGCTTTTATGCATCTCTCCCATGCAATGGAGACACCCACAGAAAATTATACAGTAACCAATCATATACAGGTTACAACCCACACATCTCCTCCCCTCAGCCTGACAGATAATCCAATTATTCAGCACACACTTTTCCCCATTTTCTGGATGTACCCCAAATACATAAAATACACCCCTAAATCCTACATCCCCTGATAGCTTTAATCTAGGTGAGCAATATACTCAAAAATTACCCAGATCGGATCAGGGGTTCGGGAACTACATGGATGTGTTCGTTTGACTGACCGTGTGGCAAACCTAGCCACTTGGGACTGCCTAAGATAGAATGGTTGTGCCTATTTTCTGTTGTGTACTGCGCGCCGGTATAGTGTGGCGTCTCGGCTATGTTTAATTTATGCTGTACTGTGTATGTCTGTTCGAATCCTCCCCATTCGTTAGCATTGCTATTAAAACTGACTAAGTTGTATATTTTGAAGAAGAAAGGTAACGGTTTATGTCCTCGTAGTTTTCATTACTGTATGTTACAGCAGGGGCTGTTGGGAGGAGGACCTGGAAACGGTAGTCTCCCTCCAGTCCCCTCAACCAAAACCCCTGCTGCCCATCTTTGGAAACCCCTGTTGAGTGACCTGCTTTAAATATCAGTTATTTTTAATAAAGTGACAGTTGAGTGACCTGCTTTAAATATCAGTCTTTTTGAATAAAGTGGCAGTTGACTCTCAGACTGTGTTTCGTCTGGTTCTTGGGAGGATTTGGGAATATTGCCTGCTTCCAGCTTTGTACTTGGTTATTGCATTCTACCAGCAGAGATCCTGGGATTATAAAATTGCAGCTCCGCAACAATTGGTGGCAAGCGGCGGGATCCAACCGTACAGCAGGAAAAACGCTGTTTATACAATTGGAATTGACATACTGGAAAGCAGAAGGCAATTGATACAGATGCAGAAGTGAATGGGGACGGACTACACCATATTGAAACGGCAAACGTTAAAGGAGCTGTTGGAAGCCAGGGGTAAGATAGCCAGCAATAAGCCTAAAGCAAGACTTATTGCCGAGCTAATGGAAGGAGACCGAGGGGGGTCTGTACATGTGACTAATAAGCAGCTTATAGTGCCCCAGAAATACCGGCAGGAACTGCTTAGAATTGCCCACGATATTCCGCTGTCTGGGCATTTAGGGATGACAAGAACGAGGTACAGATTGACACATGCATTTTTCTGGCCAGGTATATCTAGAGATGTGAGACAGTATTGTCAGACATGTGACATTTGTCAGAGAGTGGGAAAAAGGGGTGACCGCCACAAAGCGAAATTGTGCCCCCTTCCCATTATTGAAGAACCCTTTAGCAGAGTAGCAGTGGATATAGTAGGACCACTGTCCAAGCCTAGCCCTTCCGGCAAGCGGTATATTCTGACCATTGTAGATTATGCCACCCGGTACCCGGAGGCTATAGCCCTTTCCAATATACAAGCAGAAACGGTAGCCGAAGCTATGATGAAGATATTTTCCAGGATGGGATTTCCCCAAGAGATAATTTCGGATAGGGGGACCCAATTTACAGCCGAAGTGACCCACCAGCTATGGAAGTTATGTGGCATTAAGCCAATTGTAAATTCTGCCTATCACCCGCAGTCCAATGGGTTGTGTGAGCGCTTTAACGGTACCTTGAAGCAGATGCTCAGGACATTTGGGGAGTCCCATAAAGACTGGGAGAGGTTTTTACCCCATCTGCTTTTTGCGTACCGAGAAGTGCCACAGGAATCTACCGGCTTCTCTCCGTTTGAGTTATTGTTTGGGAGAAGGGTGAGGGGACCCCTAGACTTAATTAGAGAACATTGGGAGGGGGGGAGCAGTGCAGATGGAGTCCCCATTGTGCCATACGTGCTGGAGTTCCGGGACCGCTTGGAGGCTCTAACCCAAACCGTACGGGAGAACCTCCGGGCGGCTCAGCGGCGACAGCGCCGGTGGTACGATAGGGGAGCCAGAGACCGTAGCTTTCAGGTGGGACAGAAAGTTCTAATTTTGAAACCTGTCCGCACAGACAAGCTACAGGCCACATGGCAGGGCCCATACCAAGTGGTAGAACAGAGATGTGACACCACTTATGTGATCGGCCCGTGCTCTGGGGTAGGGAAACGACGCATGCTCCATGTGAACATGCTCAAACCCTATCACCAGAGAATAGAGGAGGTAGCAGCCATCTGTGCCCCAGCCACTGAGGATTATGAGAATCTGCCCTTGCCAGACATGTTAGAAAAGGAAGATTCTGCAGAAAACGCTACAGGTGTGCAGCTGGGGGAGCGGCTAAGTCTCCAGGAGCGTGCCCAGGTACAGGAGTTGATTGCAGCAAAAGGTGCTACCTTCTCCAATTTACCAGGGTACACTCTGTTAGCTACCCACCGAGTAGAGACCCCAGGACAGCTCCCTATGAGACAGACTCTGTATCGTATCCCTGAAGCAGTAAGGGAGCACATGAGGAAAGAAATTGAGGAAATGTTGCAGTTAGGGGTTATCGAACATTCAGATAGCCCCTGGGCATCACCGGTAGTGCTAGTACCCAAGAAGGATGGCACCATGCGGTTTTGTGTAGACTACCGGAGGCTCAATGACAAAACAGTGTCTGACGCCTACCCGATGCCCCGTATAGACGAGCTGCTAGATAGGATGGCAAGAGGCCAGTATCTCACTACCATTGATCTGTGTAAGGGATACTGGCAGATTCCACTAGCCGAGGAGGCCATCCCCAAGTCGGCGTTTGTCACCCCGTTTGGCCTGTATCAATTTCGGGTCATGCCTTTCGGGATGAAAAACGCTCCGGCTACCTTTCAGAGGATGGTAGATCGGCTACTGGACGGGTTCCAAGAGTACGCCTGTGCGTACTTAGATGATATAGCCATTTATAGCCAGACCTGGGCAGATCATTTGAAACATATTAGTGTGGTCATTGACCGTATTGGAGAGGCAGGGCTGACACTAAAACCTAGCAAGTGTCACATAGGGATGGCAGAGGTGCAGTACCTGGGTCACAGGGTAGGATGCGGACAGCAGAGGCCCGAACCGGCCAAGATAGAGGCAGTAGCTAAGTGGCCTACCCCCAGGACAAAGACACAAGTATTGGCGTTCCTTGGTACCGCTGGTTACTACAGAAAATTTGTGCCCAATTACAGCGCCCTGGCCAAACCCCTGACGGACTTGACCAAGAAAAACTTGCCACGACAGGTCAACTGGGGCCCAGAGTGTGAACAGGCATTCCATGAACTAAAAACTGCATTAACTAAGGCTCCTGTGTTAACTGCCCCTGATCCAACTAAACGATTTCTTGTTCACACAGACGCTTCCATGTTTGGATTGGGGGCAGTACTGAGCCAAGTGGGAGCTGATGGCGGAGAACATCCCGTAGCTTACTTAAGCAGAAAATTACTACCAAGGGAAGTAGGCTACGCCGCCATCGAGAAGGAATGCCTGGCCGTGGTGTGGGCCCTCAAAAAGTTACAACCTTATTTGTATGGACAACCATTCTCCTTGCTCACA